CGTGACCATGGCCTCGCCTGGCAAGGCCGTGGCCAGGCGGAATCTGGCGCAACACGACCCCAATGGGCCTCAACAGCTCGCATGGTATCTGCAGGGGGGTCCTCAACTGATTGAGTGGTATTTGGGGTGGCCAAAATAAGATTGCGCATGGCAAAGGCAACCATTGCAGGCGTGGCAACGGGATGCAGAACACCCGCGCGCGCTATCCCTGTGCTGGAGCGCGCCCGATCGAAGCAGCGCCATTGGATCTTCCGACGACGCAGACGCATGAACGAGAGGGCTGCGCGCTGGTCAAACAGCGAGGCGGCTAACGCAACCACGAACGCAACAGCAGGACAGGGATAGGGCGACGAGATCTATGCATATCCACTGCTCCTGGCCAGGCCCATCCTGGGCCCAGGAGCTGTATAGATGCCTCCCTGGCCAGGCCAGGAGGGCGCATACACCGCTCCTGGGCCCAGGATTGGCCTGGCCAGGAGCAGTGGATATGCATAGATCTCGTCGCCCTAAGGGATGAGTTGAATCGGAACGCGCCCGCGCCAAAGGCGCGGAATCGTACGTTCGGGCGGCGCCCGTCTCGCAACGCGGGCGGTTGTTCGGCGCGGCGGCGGCACTGTTCAGAACCAGCGCCGGCTCGCGGAGGCGCGACCTAGCCGAAGCTTGTCCACCGAAGCGTTATCCCACGTAGCGGGATCACACCTCAGTCTGACTACCTACCAGACCACCCCAACCCACCCCGAAGACCCGAATTTCGGGTTGGGGGGGGTAAGGGTTCCACTCGTGTTTTTTCGACGTTTCCCGACCCCCCCCCCCCACTGGAAATCGAGGGTAAATCTGAGCCTTCGGGTTGGGTTGGGGTGGTTTGGTGGGTGGTGACAGTGGGGTGACGCTTAGTGTTATAACCTAGTGAGCTATCACCTAGTGGGATAATCTCTAGCGGGGTAACACCTACCAGGGCAACGCTGAGATGTTATCCCACTTGGTGGGATAACACTTCAGTTTCCCCACTAAGTGGGATAACACCCGAGCGGGTGCGCCTATGCCGACAAAAATCGCGCTTTGACATGGCCAATCGCACGGACAAGAACCGTGAGTTTCGTTTCAAAGGCCCAACGCTAGCCCGCCGCTGGCCCAAGCGACGCTGTCCTGCTCCTAAGTTTACGTGGTCGTTCACAGCACTCGGGCTCTGCTTTGAAATTTCTTCATTTCCGAGGTCGCGCGGAACGGCTCACCTATCGCAGGTTGGCCCGAACTCTGCACCAAGTGTTTCTGAGCACCCTTTTTTCCGCTTCTCCTTCCCTTTTCTTTTCTTTTACTCCTTTTCTCTTTTTCTCTGCGCGGCCTCACCGGTGCGACCTTGGGGTGCTTCGTATCGCTCCGCGCTCGCACAATCTTAGTCGGTGACGGTCATCCTACGCAGTGGCGGCACCTGCGTGCTAAGTGTTGGCTGCATGTGTGCAGTCTTCTTCCCGCCCTTCCCCCTCCTGCTGGTTCTCTTTCTTCCTGCTTCTTTCCCCTTCGATTTGTACAGCGGCCAGAATTTCGGCCACGTTCACAGGACAACCCTGCCGCTCGTGCCGGCGTTTCGCCATTGCTACCCGATTCCGGGGCCATGGTCAAGTTGCGCTTTCTGTACGCCGCGGTCGTCATCACTCGGGCGTGCTGATGATAGCCTTCGCGAAGGGCAGCGGATTCATTCTCCTCCCTCTCCTGCTTCGCTACGGAAAAATGCGTCGAGTAACGCATGCACTCGACCCGTGCAAGCGTTGCAAAGATTGGCAACGATCGTACGCGGCGCTGACGCGAGATCGCCATTCGGAGTTACACGCACCCTCTTACTCAGAAAACCGGCTGCATTTAAACGCCGACGCTTCTTGAGGCGCGCGGGGCAGGGCGCGCGTGGCGCCCAGGAAAAGGGAGAGAGGATAGGAGAGGAGATTGAAGATTGCATTTGATTAAAAAAATTGCATCTCGCCTGGCGAGCGCAGATCCCTTTGAAAACATTCGGCGCTTTTCGAACAAATTGAAGGGGGCCCATTGGGTTCCCAACCGTGTTCCCAAGAACACCATTGCTCCTCCTCCGCCCGTCTGCGTGCCCTCCTCCCCTCCTGCCCCCCGCCGCCCTCATGCGCGAATCAGCGCCCACAATGCAATGAGGGCCACTCTGGGGCGCCGCGGGCGATCTGACGTCAACGTCGCACGAAGCGCGGCATCGCAGATGCGATGCAACTTGGAGGCCGGTCGACACCACCTTTCCGCAGGTTGATACCACTATTCAGCCGCCTGATACCATTTTTCCGGTGGTTGATACCACTTTCCGCCGGTTGATACCACAAATTCGCGCCGGCTGACGCCACAAATTCGCGCCGGTTGATACCACTTTTCGCCGGTTGATACCACTTTTCCGCCGGTTGATACAAATTGTTTTCTTGATGCCACATTTCCCTCAACCCATATCCGCGGTATCAACCACCATCCGTTTTTTGGTATCAACCACTCTGTTTTTGGTATCAAACATTGCGGCATTTGGTATCAACCACCCTGTTTTTGGTATCAACCACCCTGTTCTTGGCATCAACCACTCCGGTTTTGGCATCAACCAGCCTGGCCCCAAACCGCGTGCACGGCCAACTTGCCGTCAAAAAAAAAAAAAAAAAAAAAAAAAAAACAAGCCTCAACCGGATTTCGCATACGCCAGACGAAACCTCAACCGTGTCTGGAATTGCGGCGCGGGCTGTTTCCCAAGTTTCTGGGGCGCAACGCGACCTGTTATCAAATGTGCGTGGCCTGCAGTCATGGGAGCGCGCTCCGCACGTTGAAAACACACTACGCCATTGAAAACACTTGGGTCCTTCCGCGCAAACTTCCCCAATCCAGACACTCCGAGACGGGCCGTGAGAACCCCGAGGCGCGCGCGAACTGCCTGGGGCGCGCCCGAGACAACCCAGAGATGCCCCAATGCGCCCAAGATGTCCCCTATAATAGCCACGGCGCCCTCACAACGCCTCAAAATGGACCCAAAGAGACCCATAAGATGCGCACGAACAGCTACCAGAAGAGACCCCACCACGCGCATCCATACCCAAATTTGGCAGTCGCGTTACTCTTGGCCTTCAGCGTTCCCAGGAAGCCACGCCCATCATCAACGTTGCTCCACAACGGCCCAAAAGGCGTTCAAGAAGATTCGAAAACGGCCAAACAAGCTCCGAGGCAGCTCGATGATGTCCCAGCGCGGCCTCTAGGAGCCCAAGAACGCTCCAAGATGGCTCAAGAGCAGGAGCGCGAACTGACATCCCGAGCCCCCCGCCCCAAAAGGGCACCCGGGCGCCGCCAGCGACCACCACGGAGGCCGGTTGGTTACATGCCCAACGGACGGGGGGGAAGGAGAGACAGGGAGGGGGGGGGGGGGGGGGGGGCGACATGACGGAGCGGCGAAGGGGGGGGGGGAGGGGGGAATCACTTCTTGAACAAAATTCCGCGGCGCGCCGCGAGCGGCACGGCGGCCATATTCCGGAAGACCCGGGCGGAACGCCCACGAGGCGCCCGCGCAGCGGCGCAAGTGGGAACACGGCGAAACGTTGGGGGGCCCGCCCTGCGCACGGGGCGCCCGCAAGGCGCCCGGAGGCGCCAACGAAGTGGCACTCGCGACAGAGCGGCGAAACAACGGCGAACCAACCCAGCACGAGGTTGTACGAGGCACCAGCAAAGCAATGCGCGCGGCAACAAAGCAAAACTTCTGCGCAACCTCATCATTCACCATGATGCGTCAAGTCTCATACGTGCAAGCGCTCATTGGGCTGCCCGACGTGACGCTAGCGTCGGCGCAACCTCGCCCACGTAAGCCGAGGCCCGATTTCGCGTCGACGTTGGAAAATTGCGCGATGTTCTTTCGGGGTGTTCCGAGCAACGTCGGCAACAACCTGCCAGGAATATAATACGTGACGCCGGTATCATGGCAGATTTGGTGGGCAGAAGGCACGGGCGTTGTCCGCGCGACATTCCCAACGAACGACTGACGTAACATCGCCACGAACCGCAAGCGAAACGGAAACTGACGTTCGAGACGCGCGCGGCGAATGCTGTTGGCATAATCCCGTCACTTCGCCAACGCGAAATATCCTAAGTGAGCTCGCGCGCCTTGATAGTGCCCAGCGATGTCGTCAAAAACATAATGACCTACTATGGCCGAGCGTAACGCCCCGCGTGGCATGTCTAGCACTTGCCTCCCTTCCCACGAACCGAGATGGAATGCGCGGGCGCGCTGGGAACCGCTTCACCTTGCGATCAGCGCGCATGGCGGGCGCAGCCTCGAAAAGGCCCAAACAGTTTCGGTCGGTCCAGATGGGTCTCGGTTGTCTGGATCGGTCTCGACTGGTTTCGGCCGCCGCACGTATAACTCGGTCGACCTCGTTCGGCATCGGTCGCTCGGTTTCGCTCGACCGCGGATTCGCGCAGCCGCGCCCCAGAGCCATTGAGATCGACCGACGCCATCGAGAGACGACCGAGACCGATCGAAGCAAACCGAGACCGACAGAGACCAGCCGAAATCTATCCAAGCCAAACTGAGCGAGGCCGTTGCGGGACGGCCGACGCCAACCCTGTCGATCGATACCAACCACGCCAACCACCAAAATTGCAGGCACAGCGCCAACCAAACTTCAGAGTGGTAGACGCGGACTGCGCCCGCGCGCGAACGAAGCGCGGGGCCGCTCTCGAGCGTCCGCCAAAACGTGCGCGCCAGACAAGCCGCCGTGCATAGCAGCGCCTGCTGCGCAGCCGCCGTCGTCACCTAGAAGCTCCCCGAAGCTCACCGACCGCAGGTAAATTGAGCCACCTGCAACGTGCGATCAGAAAAGCATGCAATCCCCCCTGGTTGAGGATACCTTCACGATACCAAATACCAAGTTGGGGGTGCCTGCGCGATACCAAATCTCAAGTTGAGGAAACCTGCGCGATGCCAATTCTGGTGTTGGGGGAACTCTCGGGGTCGGGTTGCGCGCATTCCACGGCCATGCCAGCCTCGCCCATGTCGATCAAGTTTGCGAGCATTGACTTCCCGTCGAAGATGCGCTGGGAGACCGCTGGCTCGATGGCTAGCCGACCCGGGTTGCAGAGCAACAGGTTATCCGCGCTGGTGGCGACGTTCAGTGGCTGCGCGTTCGCCGATTCGTAGACGGCCGCCCCCTCGGCGGCGACGCCAGACTGCTCTGTCGGCAGGAGGAAGAGAAAGCCCCCGCTCAACATCTCATTGTCCTCGCGCGGGGTGCCCTGGACCCCGGAGTGGATGATGAACTCGGCCGCCTCGTGCAGGAGCGCAGCGGGGAACTTCCAGCATCGCCTCCACGCCAGAAAAGGGACTCCATTCGGCCCTTGCGAGGACTTGTTCGACCCTCGCAACGCCTGGATGATGCGCTTGCGCTTGAGCTTCAGCCTGGTCGGGTCGAAGGGCAGCGAGTCCGCGGCCCGTCTGGCAACGCCATCTTCCCGCAACCACTCCGCGAGCAGGTCGCCATTGATGCCCTTGGCCTGGAAGACCTTGGACCAGCGAGCGGAAAGCGTCGTGGCCATCTTCTCTGGGCAGGTCGCGGCCTCGCCCGAGGCTTCGCGGACGGCCCCAGGAGCGCCGGCCCGGCCTGGAGCCAATATTAATTTCAGCCTGCTGTTTTTCTGCCTGGCGCGGCGGGCAACGCGGCCGCCCGGATCAGTGAGGTCGTCGCGCGAGCGGCGAAGTTCCTCGAGGGCGCGACCCCGAGCCACGCCAACGGCGTGGTCCCGGAGCCGTGCAAGAGATCTCGCGAGGTCCCCGTGGAAATCCGAAGGGTTGTCGACAAAGTCCTTGAGCTCCGGCGGGCGAAACGAGCAGGAAGAAACAGCGCTTGGGCGCGCGCCCTCAACGGCTCGAATCAGGCGCAACGCGACCCCGAGCTTGTCCTCAAGATCGACGGCGGGAGGCGGAGCTCTGTCGCCATGCCCAAGCCGGACAACATTGGCCTGCCGCCGGTCTCGGAACTCCGACATCAGGCGCCTGGGGAAATCATTGTGCACGAGGGCCCTGCGCGGCAGCGGTCGGTCCACGTCGACGAGGCGGCTGGCGGAGTGCAGCGAGGCCAAGACAGCACGGTGGTGGGACAAATCGTGTCGCCATTCTATGGCCGCAATCTGGAGCCGCCGGTCCAGTTGCGCGGGCGCGTGGAAATTGGAGTACAAGCGGTCCAGGCGGGATCGGGCGGAGGCCGACGCGTGGGCGAAGTCTTCCTGGTAGAGCTCGAACAAGCCGCAGCGCCTCGCAACGACGTTCCGGAAGTGATTTTTCTCCCCATCCGTCACGTCTGCCAGAGCTGCATGCCGTGGTAAGCGACACCCGGCCCCTGTCCTCAACAACGTAGTTGACGTCTCCGCCAAGCACGTTGAGAACTTCACGGCGGTCGGCGATGTTCCCCGCACGGCGCTGCCGAAAACAGGCCCGATGAGCAGGAAAACTGGGCCCACCAAAATGTGGGTTGCGGCCGCCAGCCAGGGCGGTTTCGCCCCGATTGTCGTTGGAGCCGGAGTGAAAGTACACGGCGATCAGGTCCAAGGTGCCACTGGGACCTCGCAGGCACAGCTTGGCCGCGCGACCCCTCCAGATGTGGACATGCTTCGGGTCAGGATCGAAGTGGGCGAAGAAAGAGTTCGTGACCGCGATGCCGACCCCCGCCAAGCCCTCGGACAGGCCCTGAGACCACCAGGCAGTGAACCCACACGGCGGGCGCCAAACCTGATTGGCAGCCTCGGTGCCATGAGATTCGGTGATGAGGAGGACATCCGCCTGTTCCATCAGCCGGGATACGCAATCCGCCTTGGCGGCGTGCCTCCGCGGGTCCGAAGCGAAGAGAGCCTGGGAGTTCCACGCGCACACCGTGTAGTCGCGTCCGAACTGGCCCCGGCGCCTCTCGGAAGGCGGAGAGGGGGGCGAAGGCGGCGCAGGTCTTGAGGGGTCTCGCGGCTGCGCCGTGCGGGAGTAGCCCGAAAGCGATCCGCAGACGATGGCGAAGCCGGATCTGAACAGGTACATCATCAAAAACTCGTTCGCGGTCCAGAAGCGTCGGCACGCAGAGGAAGAGGAGGCATGACTGGGAGAAGACGGTCATCAGAACGACGTTGGAGATCAGGACGCGCAGGAGAATAAGGAGGGGAACGACAGGAGACGTTGAAGGAGTGGTAGAGGCGCGGCTCGTCGTCATCTCCCTCCATGCGGCCTAAACCTGCCGGCGCCTGAAATCCGGCGCGGGCACGAAGAGCGACGTAGATGGCTTAGACGAGTTCGCCGACCTTGGTCGCGCAGCGAATTCCTTGGCGGCAGCCGTAGGCTGCCGGGCACCTGCGGGGACCGAGGGCGCAGACGGTGCCGTCTACTACACCCTCGGGTCTTCCCCCGCCCCGGCCTGAATGTTGATCAGGTCATTGATCACCTCGATGGCCGCGTGATCCGCTCCAACTACGACCGATTGCCCGCGTAGG